ATTGGGAAGAAGAGACCTCCTACACCCTTCCCTCAGAGGCTGGCTAAGTACCAAAAGGAGGAGCAATACAAGAAGTTCTTTGAGATGCTGAAACAAATCCAGGTAAATATACCATTGATTGATGCTTTGAAAAAGATGCCTGGGTATGCAAAAATGATGAAGGACTTAATGTCCCGAAAATTTGATTTCCAAGACTTGGCCACAGTTACTCTTACTCAGACCTGTAGTGCAGTGGTGACTAGACCAATTGCGGAAAGCTGTCTGACCCAGGAAGCTTTACAATTCCATGCACTATTGGTAATTTTGCTTTTGCTAAGGCACTGTGTGATCTAGGGGCCAGCATTAATCTTATGCCCTTGGCAATTTATAAGAGGCTGGGTATTGGAAGAGCTAGACCCACCTCTATGTTGTTGCAGCTGGCTGACAGGACTGTGAAACGACCCTCTGGCATCTTGGATAATGTGTTGATTCAGGTAGGGAAATTTGTGTTCCCTGCAGATTTTGTGATCTTAGACTGTAAAGTGGATGAAGAGATTCCCATAATTTTGGGAAGGCCGTTCTTGGCCACAAAAGAGAGAGATGGTCCACCTAAATGGCAGTCTTACACTCCTTACAGTTACTGCAAGAGTTGTTGTGCTGTGCACATCTAACAAACTAGATAAGATAATGAACAAGTAATGTGGAGTCAGGTCCAAGGAACTCATACCTGAGATGGGCGGTGCAGTGGCTTCAACTCAGCTTTGGTGGTTTCTTCGATGGATGGCTTGGCTGGAGGAGTTTCTCTATTTTCCAAGTGCAAGGGTTCAAATTCCAAGAGTTCTATCCCAGAACCCTCTACCCTCTACGCCAAATACCCATTTGCTGCCAGTTCTTCTCTATTAACCCTCATCTAATTCATCAGAACATGCAGCAAGGGGATCCTCAATAGTCAGCATCTCATCATCAATCTCTACGATTACATCCATGGCATCAATAAGAGAGCAATTGGCGAATTCACTTGGTCGCCTCATAAGATTTCTGCACATTGAATGTTATTTCTTCATCGTTCAATCTCATTCTTGAGCTCCCCAGTCTCACAACGAGAGCTCTTCGCCT